CTCGAGTCCAGTTTACAAGTTTACTGTATGGCTGTGGGTAAACAACCAGAAACCAAAGTATTGTAGTTGTGTTAACAGCAGTTCTCATCCTAGTTGTGTGGGGGCTCGAGTCCAGTTTACAAGTTTACTGTATGGCTGTGGGTAAACAACCAGAAACCAAAATACTGGAAAAGATGGACTCAAATCACATCAGAAAAGTAAAAGAGTGCAGTGAATATATATAACAGGGGCTAATATTTCAACAACGTATGTTGTTTCTAGTTATAAATGTTGGCCTGACTTACAGGTCGGTTCTTTGACTATTAATCTGATAAAACTCCCCCCCCCATACCCTCTACACACAAAAAAAAAGTATTAATTGTTCAAAATTCTTCTTCGCAGGTTACAGCTAACGGGGAAGCTCAATCAGTGGAACTAACCATTAAACAAAAGCATGGTAGACTGGCTGAGTCTAACAAGAAAGGTGTTAACAACAAATGGAGGCAGATTGCTCAGAGAGCCTTTGGTCAGAAAACAAAGCTTTCTGAAAGTTCTGATAGTGGCGTTTCACTACAGTCTTCAGAGAAGAGCAAGTCGGTTGAGAACTTTGAGCTGGAAGAACTGACTCTATTACAGATCCTGGCTGTTGTAAGTACTGTTTGAATGTTACTCAGTCTTAAACCAAATGAGGCTCAACAGGGAATTATCTAGTCCAGATAATGTAATGTTCTAAACTTATAAAACACGCCACAGTAAAACTCAGTTGTTTCTCGAGAAAAGTGATACGTTTTGTTATTACAACACGTCATTTTCATGTTTAGTTTTGTGCGGTTTCAAATTAACAGAAATAATTCATATTAATCACATGGTAATGATATAATTAACTTTAAACCTTTTAAAACAAAACTGAAAATCTAAGAAGGAATATGTGGTCTGCATAATATTTTAATTACACTTTTCATTGTCTGTGCAGAAAGCCCTAGAACTTAGTGCCCCTGCTAGTGACGTATTACTCCGAAACAGAAGAAAAAATTGGATACAACTCTCTGGTCATGAAGGTAAGTCAGATTTCTAAGTACAATTCTCTGACTATGAAGGTAAGTCAGATTTCTAAGTGCAACTCTCTGTTGTACTTAGAAATCTGACTTACCTTCATAGTTTCTCTGGTCATGAAGGTAAGTCAGATTTCTAAGTACAACTCTCTGACTATGAAGGTAAGTCAGATTTCTAAGTACAATTCTCTGACTATGAAGGTAAGTCAGATTTCTAAGTACAACTCTCTGACTATGAAGGTAAGTCAGATATCTAAGTACAATTCTCTGACTATGAAGGTAAGAATCAGTTTTCCATTCATAAGTGTAAAAATAACTAATCTAGTCAAAACTTTGAAACTGTTAATTGTGAAGGTTTTATTATCAGTTATGTGTTTACAACTAGAGTTATTACAGCAAGATATGTTTTCACAACTACAGTTATTACGGTAAGACATGTCTCACAACTATAGTTATTACAGTAAGATGTGTTTAAAAACTATAGTTATTACAGTAAGATATGTTTCACAACTATAGTTATTACAGTAAGCTATGTTTCACAACTACAGTTATTACAGTAAGACATGTCTTACAACTACAGTTATTACAGTAATACATGTCTCACAACTACAGTTATTACAGTAAGATATGTTTAAAAACTATAGTTATTACAGTAAGACATGTCTCACAACTAGTTATTACAGTAAGATATGTTTCACAACTACAGTTATTACAGTAAGACATGTCTCACAACTACAGTTATTACAGTAATACATGTCTCACAACTACAGTTATTACAGTAAGATATGTTTAAAAACTATAGTTATTACAGTAAGATATGTTTCACAACTATAGTTATTACAGTAAGCTATGTTTCACAACTACAGTTATTACAGTAAGACATGTCTCACAACTATAGTTATTACAGTAAGATATGTTTCACAACTATAGTTATTACAGTAAGATATGTTTCACAACTACAGTTATTACAGTAAGATATGTTTCACAACTACAGTTATTACAGTAAGATATGTTTCACAACTACAGTTATTACAGTAAGATATGTTTAAAAACTATAGTTATTACAGTAAGATATGTTTAAAAATTACAGTTATTACAGTAAGATATGTTTCACAACTATAGTTATTATAGTAAGATATGTTTCACAACTATAGTTATTACAGTAAGATATGTTTCAAAACTATAGTTATTACAGTAAGATATGTTTAAAAACTACAGTTATTACAGTAAGATATGTTTCACAACTGCAACTGTTTTTAGTAATCTGATTACGTCACCAATTTGGTAAACTCGGTGGTTATATCGAGAATTGTCGGATTATTTAATTCTCTGACCTTGAGCTTAAATTTGGCAATAGTAGGTTCTGGTTGTGGTCATGAAGGAAGTTCCGGCATTGCTAAGATATATTTGCATAAAAATTAACTTCCCTGTACTTATCAATATTTGTATTCCAGTCATGAATCTTTCCACACCTGTTTAGCTAGGTGTTTGTGTATCTTTACAGATTGCACAATGCATTTAAGATTGTGTTTACCAGTATATAGGCTTAACCTAACCTTACCTAGCTCTATTGGTCAAATACATAGGCCTAACACAAACAAGGCTTAGTTTCAATTGGTGATTAGATTTACTGGCTTTATTCAACTGTACATTAAGGTTTAAATGGTCAGCACGTGGTGGGAGTATATATATATATATATTTGATTACATCTTAACGTAGGAACTCTAGCGCCGGCAGGACCAGGGACGATCTGGAAGAAAGTAAGTGCCGATGACAGTGAAGTACAAGCTTATAAAAAGTTAATGACAGACATCACGGCAGACGTGGTTCCCCGATTCTACAGAGATGTTGAATATAATGGAGAAAGTATCCTTTCCAAGTTTTCTTGAAAGATTTGAGTGTAAATTACAACGGCCTATGAGCTCTTAGATTACGAGTTGGTTTTAAAAGACGAATCTTAATTTTAGGTGAGAATTAGTAATAATTATTCACTTATTTCTGTAAATTTTAAAGTTAAAGGTTGTTTCTTAGAGCCATAATCCTGAAGGGGAACTAGTTTTACCCTTGACCACCAATTATCAGACTTTATTGAAATGCAGGATCTTCTTTATCAGTTTTCAAGTCCGGCTGTCATGGACATCAAAATGGGAACAAGGTAATCAGTCAACATTTTGTTATTTTATACCCCTGGCGGCAACTTTAGGGACTCACAACGCTAAATTCCGGTGTTCGATTCCCTGCGGTGGACAGAGCGCAGATAGCCGCTTGTGCGGGTTTGCTCTGAAACAACATTTGCACGTTTTAGCGCAAAGCAATATAATGTCCGTCCCAGGATTCGAACCCCGGATTTTAGCGTTATAAACACCCGAAGCTTATCGCTGAGTCACATTAATTAAAACGCCTCAATATGATTAATAGGACTTAATTATTTGTACGTTTGTGTGTGTTTTAATTGAATGCTTTATTTTCTCTTTTTTTTTGTTTTGTTTTTCAAATCTGAGAATTTAAACATCTTAACTACTAGAAATGTAATGTTGTTTTTAAAACTGAACTAAAATATTTTTGGGGCACTGCCTTTAATAACTAAGACATCATTCTAAAACTATCTGCTGGAAACTGATTTCATTCATTCAGTGATTTCCAGAGTGATTTGGTGTTAAATAAGAATTCCTGCTTTTCACCTAGAATAATTTGAAAGTTGTTGTTTTTTTTTAGAACATTCCTTGAAAGTGAGGTACAGAACAGCAAGGCGAGATCAGATCTGTACCAGAAGATGGTTAAAATCGATCCTAACGCTCCTACGCCAGAGGAGAGAGAATCTGGAACTGTTACCAAACTGAGATACATGCAGGTATGAAATTGGATTATTTGATCAATAAATAACATCTAACATTCACTAATGTCGAGTAGTCTTTCCTTTTTGTTGCCTCCTTTATTAATTTCTCCTGGAAATATGAATGAAAACAAAAAAAAATTATTTGAATAAATACTTGCATAGTCTTTGATTAGGCGACCTGGGGTGCCATCTCTTGACAGATTTAGGAACTCTAAGCAAATCTCTCCTCGGAGTTTGGAAAAGTAGTTACGAAGGGGATGTCTTCCTTCTTCTATACTATAAGATATTCCAGTTGTAATTTATTTTTTTAGTTTTATTATTTTATTCTTACTGTGTGTGAGAGAGTAAGAGAAACAAAAGAGTATAACTTATGCTAAGAAATATATTTTTAAAGACTTTCAATAGCAAATGAATTAGAGACAAAAATATAGGTTCACGTATAAAAACACTAAATGGTTAATCGGTTTCGTGTACTTAGAACAATTATGTATTTACGGGGAAGCATGCGAGACTATGATATTACTATGGCAACACAAAACATCACCATAGCAACATAAAGTATGACCATATATACGTATGACCAGATTTCTACATTATCTTTCTTTCTCTCCTACGTGTAGTTTCGGGAAAATCTCAGTTCTTCGTCAATCCTAGGATTTAGAATCGAAGGTTTTAAGGTAAGGTACACGTTTCTAAATTTCTACATAATTTTTCTGTACCGATAAAATATGCAAGAAGCTAATTTAAGAAATTAAACCAAAATTGATTAGAATATTTTATGTTATCCGAAAACTGACTGATTAGGTTTAGGTTTTGGTAATAACGGGTCACATCACAACAGCCATGATATTGTTATTTTACGTATTGTTCAGTGTTTAGCAGGCATAAATATGACCTTACTTATTTTTCGGTGTTAAACAGGCATAAAAATACAACTTTACTTACTGTTCAGTGTTTATCAGCATAAAAATATGAATTCACTTATTGTTCAGTTCTCAGCAAGCATAAAAATATGACTTCACTTACTGTTCAGTGTTTATCAGCATAAAAATATGACATTTACTTATTTTTCAGTCGTCAGCAAGCATAAAAATATGACTTCACTTATTGTTAGAGCTTATCAGCATAAAAATATGACATGTACTTATTGTTCAGTGTTTATCAGCATAAACATATGACTTAACTTATTGTTCAGTGTTTATCAGCATAAAAATATGACTTCACTTATTGTTCAGTGCTTATAAGTATAAAAATATG